ACCTATGTTGTGATGACTCAAGAAAAGCAGTGCTAAGCTAACCGCTTCACCATTATTAAGGAAACGCGGATTCATTCGATGATGCGAGTACCGCCCGACAACGGGATTTGCCGCAAAATTGATTTAATCCGTGTTTCCTTAAGCAAGACAAACAAATCTTTTTTGTACCAAGGAGAAAACATGATCAAAAGTTTAGCGTACATTGTTGCCCAACACCAAGATCCGCAAGCTTGGGTTGCTTACGGGCAAAATGTTTTAGGAATGCAAGCAACGACGGCATCAGGTGGTGTAGTGGGCGATGTTCACCTCAAAATGGATGATCGTGCCTACCGCGTTCGTGTTCATCAAGGCAATGAAAACAAATACTTAGCTACTGGCTGGGAAGTTGCCGATGATGCCAGTTTTCAGGCTGCGATTCAAAAGATTAAGGCTTCTGGTACAGCTGTTGAAGTCTTGCCTCTGGCCGATGCCCTTGCTTTGGGCTTTCAAGCTGTTGCACGTTTCCAAGATCCTGCTGCCAATACGCACGAATTAGTGTGGGGCTACCGCACAACCTTTGATCGCTTTATTTCTCCAGTGGGCGTGAAAAAATTTATTACCGATCCGATGGGCATGGGGCATGTGGTGTTACCCGCACCCAATTTCGATGAAACGTGGAAATTTTTAAATGAAGTCTTAGGGTTTGAATTGGCTGATATTTTCCGCATGAAATTTACGCCAGACCCAGCAGAACCTGAAAAACGTATTTATTTCCTACACTGTGGCAATGCACGTCACCACAGCCTAGCGATTTTTGAGATGGGCAATCCTGCGGGTTGTGTTCATGCCATGGTTGAAGTTGAAGATATGGATGAAGTCGGTCGCGCCTATGATCGGATGCTACACAACAACGTGAAACTGATGGCAACCCTTGGTCGCCACGTCAACGATCGCATGACCTCTTTTTATATGGACTCACCATCTGGCTTTGCCATCGAGTTCGGTTTTGGCGGCTTGCAAGTGGACTGGGATGAGCACTTAGTCTTTGAAACGACTAAAGTTTCACTCTGGGGACACGATTTTTCAGTAGGTTTCAAATAAAATCTACGTCTTATCTCCATGTCCGATCAATCGTGTCAGACAAGGTTGTGATGACACCACGGATCGGAGATCGGAAAGACGAGTCGGTGTAGGGATTTGATGCTGGGCAACTCAGGTTGCTCCTTTTGACTTTTAATGAAATTTAAATAAAACATGGCTTTAGATAAACGCATGACCGCAACTGAGGCAGTTGCTAATATTCAAAGTGGAATGACGATCGGTATTGGGGGCTGGGGTCCACGCCGCAAACCCATGGCCTTAGTGCGAGAATTATGTCGTACTGATGTCAAAGACTTAACTGTTGTAGCCTATGGCGGTGCCGATGTAGGCATGCTATGTGCTGCAGGAAAAGTTAAAAAACTTGTATATGCGTTTGTCTCGCTTGATGCCATTCCTACCGAAAGTTATTTTCGCAAGGCACGCGAGTCCGGCTCGATAGCGGTATGTGAGTTAGACGAAGGTATGATGCAATGGGGCTTACGCGCTGCGGGTATGCGGATGCCATTTTTACCGACGCGTGTAGGCTTAGCGACGGATATTCTCGACAGAAATCCAGATTTTAAATTAATTACATCACCTTACGAAGATGGCGAAGTGTTTTTGGCTATGCCCGCTTTAGAGCTTGACGTTGCTTTATTACACGTCAACTTAGCTGATCATTGGGGTAATACACGTATCTATAGTCCTGATCCGTTTTTTGATGACTTATTTGCTCGTGCGGCCAAAAAAACTTTTGTTAGTGCCGAAGAAGTGGTTCCACTTGCCAATGATGGTGCTGATGGCGCGAAATTTAACTACTTTGAACGCAATTTAGTCAAAGGTGTGGTGCATATTCCTGGTGGTGCGCACCCAAGTTCCTGTGGTAATCAGTATGGCTGGGATCTTAAACACTTCAAGCTTTATGGAGAAACGGCTAGCGTTGAAGGCGGTTGGGATCAGTACTTTTCTGATTATATTGCCATTGGTGAACCCGCTTACCAAGAAAAAATGGGGGGTGTTGCTGCCATTACCGCTATACCTTATGCGCCATTTTGACGGCAAAACCACAACCCACTGAATTTACACAAATTATTTGAGAACACCATGAGTGATATTACCTTAGCAGAACTTTTAATTGTTGCATGCTCCGAAGCTTGGCGCGGCAATGGTGAGATTTTAGCCTCTGGCATTGGCACCATCCCTGGCATAGGCGCTGGGCTTGCCAAACTCACCCACAGCCCAGAGCTTTTAATGACCGATCGCGAAGCTTATTTAGTCGAGACTCCCGTGCCACTAGGCGCAAAAGCAGGGGAACGTGGCGTTTATTCGGGTTATATGTCATATGCGCGGGTTTTTGATGTTGTCTGGAATGGCACACGTCATGCCATGATCACGCCCGTACAAATTGATCGTTATGGTCAGACCAACCTCTCGATGATCGGCTCTGACTATGACAAACCCAAAGCCGCAGTTCTCGGTGCCCGTGGTTTGCCTGGCAACAGTATTAACCACATCAACTCGATGTTCATCCCTAACCACAATAATCGAATTTTCGTTAAAAATGATGAGGTTGATATGGTGTGTGGCGTAGGTTACAACCCCAAACGTTGGCACAAAGGTATGAATCAAGACTTGATGGATATTCGTTTAATCGTCACAGATTTATGTGTCATGGACTTTTTAGGTGAAAACCACGCTATTCGAGTCAAAAGCTTGCATCCAGGGGTGACGTTTGAACAAGTACAAGAAGCAACAGGCTTTCCACTGATAAAAGCCGACAATTGTGGCATCACCCCTTTGCCTACTGCTGATCAATTAATCATTATTAATCAGCTAGATCCACAAAATTGGCGCAGTAAAGCC